TCATAGGTTAGGTTACGATATCCAGAGAGGGCGTGGGAACAACAAATGAACGCGGGCGCTGCCTATAAAACGACTCGCTAGATCAGTTTGATCGCGAAGTATGAATGCGCTTTTTGGTCTCCGAGGTCGAAGGTATTATCAGTATTTTAGATAGGTTCCATTGGCCGTTATGCCAAGCTGCAGAAGCGTAAGGACCCGCTAGCTGGTTATCCACCAGAGTTCCGCGCAAAACTCAAAGAGTGGCCAAAACTACTCCAGGCTGAAATTGATGAGAGCGTCTCTCACGTTAGTGACTTTTCCTTCACACAGTTTTAGGCAATTTGGTTTTTCGCATGTTTTAGCTGAAAGAGCTTCGAGAGGTCAGTGATCTCCCAACTTTGGAAGACCGTGGACTGCTGCTAGGTAATCTTCGATTGGTATCCGATGACTTGCATCCAATCACAGGGCGTACTGTGATTTTGAAAAGGATTCCCTCCCCCAATGGAACTGATCGCTCAAAGCTTTTCCGTGCAGGTATGACGATCATTTGCATATAGTCTTTTCGGTGCTAACGTAGTTGGGAGGGGCCACGCGGCTCGCGGCGAGTGATGACTCATCGACTCTTCTGCTTTCTCCTCGGCAAAAAGAAGTAATTTCATGTTTAGGACATGGATATAACACCGTCCTAGCTATATTCAAAAGCTAAAACAGTTAAGGCTGAGAATTGCGAAGAACAGTAAAACGAGTTACAGAGGTTTGACAAAAGTGCGCTCATAGAAACCAGATTTGAATACAACAGGACGTGGGGGACGGTATTTGGACTACTATGAGTCAACCAATCGGGTAAGTTGCCTTTTGACTATGTTGATATGTAAGTCTATGGACTGCATACGAAAAGATCACACATTGTGTTTCAATTTCTGATGAGTGAATTGTGGTATTCACGCCTAATGTTTCGCGGTGGAGACGTGCAAATCTGTGAGTTTTGGTTTCTTTATGTCGTTCATATTTGCTGCAGCCGTTAACGCTCAACTTATAGACAAGAAGTGAAAGCGCCGAGAGATCTAACGAGCAGTTACTCGTGATGCGCAGTCGCGAGTCGGACGTATTGCCAATTAAGTGAAATGCGCCAAGATATGTAGCGTTCGGGCGGACATTCCTTATCACTGGCGCCAAGAATGCTTGCTAGGAACGCGTCACTAACGTTGCAATAATAGCTGATTATAAGGCAGCACCAATACTGTGCGAGTGTGGAGAACACGCGATTCGAGAAAATCCGCGATTTGGGAGAGTTAGCGGAAAGTACTAGGTTGGACGATAGAACTTGCCCACTAGGATTCTCCGCGGATTTTCCGAAACCGCAGTTCCTCCTTTATCGCAAAGTTTGATGGCTTAGCTTTGTCGCTGTATGTGCTAAGTCCTAGGAGCTCCTGTTGCCATTCGCGATGCAAAGACGTTGCGAGAAATCGCCGAGTGTGTGATGTTGGCATCGAATCGGAAGGAAATCAAGGTGTTAACCATTTCTCGAAATGTTCCCCTGAGAGGTTTTTGTACCTTTTATGGTTTTCATTCTCAGATCAAAATTCGCCCTTCGAGTGCGTCGAGGCATTTGGATGGTGACACTGACTACATTCTCACAATGTCTCAATCTAGCGGTGCTCTTCATTCCGTGCAGGACTTCTTTCTGTATCCCCTACTATACTTTTGGGCGCTTTCGTACTTTGCAGTTGTACGCAAATTCGGAGTAACCATGAATCGTGAGAGTGCATCGAGGGATTATGGGCAAAGGAACTACATGCATCAGTCGAGCGCGTTCATACTTCGGATCCGGTCGCTGTAGGGTCCACGTTGTCCGACCGCGACCGGGACGCTCAAAGCCAATCGGTGGATCAGTGCAACGGCAGAATTCAATTGCGCCGCCTTCATGCACTGTTTGAACGCGGCCCAATTAGGAGTCTGCTGTTGCGGCAATCCACTGATTAGCAGTGGAGCGCCCTCCATCATGGTCGCGCGATCTTAGCGATCAAATCGTGAGGTATCTACGCGCTCTCAGAATCCAACGATTTCGGCGAATGCGCGACAAAGGCTTTGATGGGAATCGATTGGTTCTGTTCATCAGCGCTTTGAAGCAGGGCTTAAGTAGGGAGAACGCGCTATTCGCGAGTATGAGGGGCTTGTCGATTTCTATCCAATGCTTTTTCACGCCTTCTCCGAAGTCGCGTATTCACCACATTGGTGTGTTCCCAACTTCCTTTGTTGCCGATTCTCCCATATCGCCGCATTCTCCCGAGCCCGGATTCTTCGTATTCGCAATGTATGAACGCGACCTTGTCTTTCTCTTCGGGGTTCAACTTTCAACAAACTCTTACAATATTTAGGCAGAACAAAGTGGTCGATACGCCTGGTGTGGATTTATTAGGATATGCCTTCAGAGCAAAGAACATGCCATCCATACATAATGGTGGGTATTCCGTCATTTCATTTATTTCTATGTTTCGATACTCCACATTTGTTATTATCGGAGAAAGATTTCTAGATAGAATGGTGGCGGACCTTTCCGATGAATTGAATGAAAGTCAACGTCGGGCTGTTAGCGCTGCGCTCAACAAAAGACGACCGTTCGTGACAATCCAAGGCCCACCAGGTACTGGAAAAACGCGAGTTGTAGCTGAAATAGTTCGGCAGTTGTTGAACAGGAAGCTCAAGGTGGGAAATCATTCATGCTCGCTGAAAACTGCTGCAGCTGATAACTATTTCAGGTCTTAGTTTGTGCTCCATCTAACGTGGCGGTTGATAAGGTCATGTCAGAAGTCATCAAGTTGCTCGGTAGTGAACAGCTTGAACAAGAAGCTACATGTGACGGGAAACGTGGTGAGAATTCAGCACCCTGTAAGCCAGAGGTTACCACGGGACGCGATGTCGCGCTCCCGGACGTGAGGCGGTCTCAACGATGACCTCTTGTTGCCTATCCTTCCATTCACAATCTCTCAAAGAATTGAATTTCATCGCTGACGTATTCAAGATATGATTTCTGATGCGGAAACGATCGAGGAGGCCATCACATCCAATGAAAAATATCCTGAGCTGTGCA